GGGGGGGGGGGGGGGTCGTTTGAGGGTCTCCCCCAAATTTGGGGGGAGGTGGGAAGGAGGTTTGGGGGTGTTTTACCTTGAACTGCCCCGGGTAGAGCTCACGGGCAAGGGCGAAAAAGGGTTCTGGATGTTTCTGGGGGGCGCAGGGAGGTCAGGGGGGAGCCCCAGAAGCTCAGGACCCCCCCGCCCCCCCAAAATTTGGGGAGGAAAAGGGGGGGGGTACCTTGAAGAAGCCGATCTCGAAGATGGCCTCGGGGTAGGGGAGGTTGTAGCTCTGCAGGTTGGAGTAGAGCCCGGTGCCGGGCGAGCGGAAATCCGGGATCCCGGCAGCTGGGGGGTGGGTCGGGGGCGTCAGGACCCACCCCGGGGGTCCCTGAGCCCCCCCGGGGCCCCCCACAAAGAGGACTCACAGGTGGAGATGCCGGCGCCCACCATGCAGATGACGTTCTTACCTGAGGGGGGGGGCACAAAGGGGTGAACCCCAAAACTGCCCCCAGAGCCACGCCCTTTCTGCCGCTCCCCCCGAACTCTCCCCGTCCCCGCTCCTGATTTTCCTGCTGCCCCCTCCCCGTTCTTGGTGCCCCCCATTCCCGTTCCCGGTGTCCCGTTCCCGGTGTCCCTACAGTGCTCACTCCTCAGGAACTGGCAACAGCGGCCGCTGCCCAGGAAGCGGCTCACGCCCGCCAGGCTCAGCTCGTCCAGCACCGGCTCCGCTCGGTCCCCGCCGAGCCCCAGGGTCCGGGACAGCAGCGTCCGCAGCAGCTCCACTGCGGGGACCCCCAGCTGTGCCCAGAGCGCCCCCAAACCCCCCCCACGCCCCCACGCGTCCCCAAAAACCCTTGACCCCGCCCCCAGGAGAGCCACGGCGTCCCCAAACTCTGACTCCGACCGGCCCGTCCCACAAGTGTCCCCAAGTGTCCCACAATGTCCCCAAAAGCCCCTGAGATATCTCTGAAGGCCCCAAAATGTCCCCAAAAGCGTCCCCGAGGGGTCCCCAAAGGGCTCCGGGAGTGTCCCCAAAGGGTCCCCAAAGTGTCCACCTGGGGGTACCCAAAAGCGTCCCCAGGTGTCCCCAGGGGTCCCCAAGGTGTCCCCGCGGTGTCCCCAGGGGTCCCCAAGGTGTCCCCGCGGTGTTCCCAGGGGTCCCCGCGGTGTCCCCAGGGGTCCCCAAGGTGTCCCCGCGGTGTTCCCAGGGGTCCCCGCGGTGTCCCCAGGGGTCCCCAAGGTGTCCCCGCGGTGTTCCCAGGGGTCCCCGCGGTGTCCCCAGGGGTCCCCAAGGTGTCCCCGCGGTGTTCCCAGGGGTCCCCGCGGTGTCCCCAGGGGTCCCCAAGGTGTCCCCGCGGTGTTCCCAGGGGTCCCCGCGGTGTCCCCAGGGGTCCCCAAGGTGTCCCCGCGGTGTTCCCAGGGGTCCCCGCGGTGTCCCCAGGGGTCCCCAAGGTGTCCCCGCGGTGTTCCCAGGGGTCCCCGCGGTGTCCCCAGGGGTCCCCAAGGTGTCCCCGCGGTGTTCCCAGGGGTCCCCGCGGTGTCCCCAGGGGTCCCCAAGGTGTCCCCGCGGTGTTCCCAGGGGTCCCCGCGGTGTCCCCAAAGGGTCCCCAAAGTGTCCCCCTGGGGGTCCCCAAAAGCGTCCCCAGGGGTCCCCAGGGGTCCCCGCGGTGTCCCCAGGGGTCCCCAAGGTGTCCCCGCGGTGTTCCCAGGGGTCCCCGCGGTGTCCCCAACGGGTCCCCAAAGTGTCCCCCTGGGGGTCCCCAAAAGCGTCCCCAGGGGTCCCCAGGGGTCCCCGCGGTGTCCCCAGGGGTCCCCAAGGTGTCCCCGCGGTGTTCCCAGGGGTCCCCGCGGTGTCCCCAAAGGGTCCCCAAAGTGTCCCCCTGGGGGTCCCCAAAAGCGTCCCCAGGGGTCCCCGAGGTGTCCCCAGGTGTCCCCAGGGGTCCCCAAGGTGTCCCCAGGGGTCCCCAAGGTGTCCCCAGGGGTCCCCAAGGTGTCCCCAGGGGTCCCCAAGGTGTCCCCAGGGGTCCCCAAGGTGTCCCCAGGGGTCCCCCAGGTGTCCCCAGGGGTCCCCAAGGTGTCCCCGAGGTGTCCCCAGGTGTCCCCAGGGGTCCCCAAGGTGTCCCCAGGGGTCCCCAAGGTGTTCCCGGGGTGTCCCCAGGGGTCCCCGGGGTGTCCCCGAGGTGTCCCCGCGGTGTCCCCGCGGTGTCCCCAGGGGTCCCCGGGGTGTCCCCAAAGGCCCAGCCCGGGGCCCCCGCGGCCCCCACGGGAGCCCGGCGCCCCCAGACCCACTGTCAGCGTCGGCCGAAGTGCCCGGCTCGGGCTCCGAGACCTGCGGGGAGGAGTGCGAGGGGTCACCGGGGTGTCGGGGGCGGTCACCGGGGTGGGGACCGGTGGGGGGGGGGCCGAACGACACCGGGGGCGTTACCGGAGGCTCGGCGTCCTGCTCCGCCTCCTCCTGGCGGGCAGCTGGAGCTACGGGAACGGTGGGGGGGTCCCCGGCGGGGGGCTCCCCGGCGGGGGCGGGAGGAGAGGAAGCCCCACCCCGCGGGCCGCCCCCGGCCCCGCCGGCCCCGCTACCGTCCCGGTCCGCCATGGGCGCGGCCTGCCCGCACCACAACTCCCGGCGTGCCCCGCGGCGGCACCGTTGGGAGGGAGGGACGCGTGCGCGGGCGGGCGGAGAGTGCTGATTGGCTGAAACACCCGGAAGAGAGGGCGCGGACTACGGGTCCCGGCACGCGCCGGGGCGGGGATTCCCCGGTCCGCGATGGCGGCCGCGGCCTGAGGCGGCCCCGGCGATGGCGGCCGCGGCCCCCGCGGCCCCGGCGGCCCCCGGCGAGGCAAAGCGGCCCGAGGGCGACGAGTGGTGCGACAGCGGGCTGGGCTCGCTGGGCGAGGGGCCGCTGGGGCCGCCGCTGCCCGCCAGCCCCGGAGCGGAGTCCCCCGAGCCCCTCGCTGACCCCGCGGCCTGGCTGCGGCACGTCCTGAGCTTCGTCACCGAGGAGGGCGACACGTGAGGGCGGGGAGGGACGAGGGACCCCCCACGGGTCCGGGTGGGACCCCCACGCACACCCTGGGCTTGGGGGGGTCACGGTTCTGCCTCTTGCCGGGGTTCCGGTGCGATCCCCCCGGGAGCGCCGCGCCCCGCGGGGCCCCTCAGGAACGGCCCGGGAGCCTCGGTAACCCCCCGGTAACGGCCCGGGAGCCTCGGTAACCCCCCGGTAACGGCTCAGGACCCCCAGTAACCCCCCGGTAACGGCCCGGGAGCCTCGGTAAACCCCCGGTAACGGCCCGGGAGCCTCGGTAACCCCTCGGTAACGGCTCAGGACCCCCAGTAACCCCCCGGTAACGGCCCGGGAGCCTCCGTAACCCCCCGGTAACGGCCCGGGACCCCCAGTAACTTCAACACACACACTTTTCTGGGACCCCTGTGGGTCTGGGGGTGTCAGTCCTTTATTGGGGCCCCCTGTGGGTCTGGGGGTGTCAGTCCTTTATTGGGGACCCCCTTTGGTGTCAGTCCTTTATTGGGGCCCCATTTAGGTCTGGGGGTGTCAGTCCTTTATTGGGGACCCCCTGTGGTGTCAGTCCTTTATCGGGCCCCCTGTGGGTCTGGGGGTGTCAGTCCTTTATCGGGGCCCCCTGTGGGTCTGGGGGTGTCAGTCCTTTATCGGGGCCCCCTGTGGGTCTGGGGGTGTCAGTCCTTTATCGGGGCCCCCTGTGGGTCTGGGGGTGTCGGTCCGTTTTTGGGGACCCCCGGGGGGTGTCGCACAGCCCCCCGCAGCCCGTGCCCCCCCAGGGCCCTTCACCTGGCCGTGATCCACGAGCACGAGCCGTTCCTGGAGTCCATCCTGCGGCACGCCGAGCGCTCCCCGTACCTGGACCTGCAGAACGACCTGGGCCAGGTGGGCTCGCCCCGCAGCTGGGGGTCCCGCGGGAGCTGGGGGGGGATTTGGGGTGCAGCTGCGGGGAGGGGGGAGTTTTGGCTGGGCTTTGAGCCCCCCCCACCAAGGTGTGAACCAGCCTGCGCCCCCCAGAGCCCTGCACATCGTGCTGGGGCGGGGTTTGGGGCGGGGTTTTGGGGCGATGTTTTGGGGTGATGTTGATGTTTTGGGGCTGGGTTTTTGGGGTGATATTTTGGGGTGATGTTTTGGGGAGATGTTGATGTTTTGGGGTGAAGTTTTGGGGTGATGCCGATGTTTTGGGGCTGGGTTTTTGGGGCGATGCTTTGGGGTGATATTTAGGGGTGACGGTGCTGTTTTGGGGCGATGTTTTGCTGTGATGCCAATGTTTTGAGGCTGGGTTTTTGGGGCAGTGTTTTGGGGTGATATTTAGGGGTGACGGTGCTGTTTTGGGGCGATGTTTTGGGCTGAGGTTTTGGGGTGAT